GGGTCAGGAATTAATGATAAAAAAGAAGAGAAATAGAAATGCATAATAAAGAAAGAATTTTTATTGGCTCCATTTAAGTACGTTAATTTATAGGAAAAAGTATAGTAATTCTAATGAAGTAACTGACAGGAATTTGTATTTTTAAGGTCTTCTGTCTTCACGGAAGACATTATAGTGATTTTACTGTTTCTAATTAGTTGAAGGGCCGGCCCACAAATACTTCTTTTGCATATATCTAAGAAACAAAAAAAAAAAAAAACAAAAAAAAAAAACAAACAAACAAACAAACAAACAAACAAAGAAACAAAGAAACAAACCAAAAAGAAAAAGAAGAATTTCTGGAGAGTTGTTCAACAAAAAATGTTTTAAATCATAAGAACTTTAAGAAGATATCGAGAATAAAGGCCTGGTATCTCATATTAGAGGCCAAGACAGACCGAGAGTTTTTAATGTATACCTCTTTAATGATCAATATTTTGTAAAACAATACTGAAGCAGAATTGTTCGTCTTAACAATTTTTCTATATGATTATATCATTATATTTGAACTAAAATCTTAGCTAAATTCTTATTTCATCTTATCAAAAATCGGACGGAAGACTCACTTGTTGCTAGCGACGAGATCTTTTTTCTTTACTTTCTAATTTTGTGTACGCAATTTCTCAAATTGGATGGATTTACATGAAAATTTCAGGAAAGATGTATTGTAACATGCACTTGATCTACCTGAGGAAAAATTCGAAAATACACTTGTTGTGCAAAGTTACGGACCATTTCTGAATTCAAAACGACATTTTGACCGCAGATGATCTCAAAAAACGACAAGAGATATCAATGTGAAACTTTCAGGGATGATAGATCGTGATAAATACTAGCCAGGACTCTACTTTGGTCGTCGTAGGCACTCCCGGTCATTTTTTTCCATGATATAATAGGGATAATAAAGAGTCTTATTAGAATGCAAAATATCATTTGTTTCAAAACTACTCAAGCCATATTCTAGATATTCTTTTTTTTATACTGAAGCGGTGGTTCCGATGGCGTAATGGTTAGATTATCACGCGGACGACCTGGGCTCAATCCCCAGATTGACTGATTTTTTTCATATGTTTTAGCTTATTTTTTTTTTAGTCTTTGATATGAAGCAAATGTTTAGTGGTAGAATTTTGCGTTATATTCATGTTTTTTTGCAAGTTGCAATTGACTCTTATGATTGCCCAAAACGTTGGTTTTACTTTTACACATTATCTGTTAAACATTTCAAACTATGAATATATATTTTATGCATATAAGTTTTAATGGTTTTCATAGTAAAATCTAACACATGCGATTTGGTTTAATTCCCACTACGCAGGAATTATTTTTCTCAATTTTAAGATAAGTTTTACGTTTTTATACATGGTATTTGGTTTTTTTCCCCCTACTTGAAATCAGCGCTATTTTCATTTTTGTAAGAATAAAAAAAAAAATCCTTGAAATCCTGATGTTCTTTAAAAAATACATGTTACATTTCGCATGTTCATTAAGTTTGACCCCCGTTCGTCTATGAAGAAAAAAAAAAATTAAAGTCTAAGTCGTTTGGAGCAAGCGGCAGCATTTGTGTCATCTATTATTTTCCCTTCCAGTGAAAATATACATTTTTTTTCCAGTGAATAGTAAGACATTTGCAAATATTTTATGCAGAAAAAAAAAATCCTTGCGAATTGGCCCTTGCTCAATTTTAAAACAGGTTAAGCATGTGCAATTACAACAAAACAAAGACAAATCTGGTTAAATACTCATGTAAATTTTGCAATAGGAATTTTCAAATTTTGTTTTCAGCTTGGGTTATGGGAGAGACAGAGACAATGGCATACGTTCAGCTTCCATAGTGATTTCTCACTTCACAAAATTAGTTGTGAACATATTGATTACCCGAATCATGTGTCATGTTTATAACATATTTGTTTCTCAGAGTATATGATATTATAGAAAATTTCAAACAGTTCTCGTTGTTTGATCATTTCCACTATGGGTATATGTATTAAAGCATGTAGATACAAACAGAAGTACTTCATAATGAACACCAGTGCATATTTCCCTGTTTTCCCTGTTAAAATCACCCTTCCTATCAAATATTAAGATGTTATAGGAAATGAGAAATAAATGATTTATATAATATGCTAAAAGCATAAAAGCCATAAATATTGCACATCCCTATAAAATCTTTTTTATGGACATGTATTTGAAAACAGAAACATCATATTTTTATCTAAATCGTAAATTTCAGGGTTGCATACTTTGGTTAAAATTACCAAAATCTAACACGATGGGTCAAATAACACGAATATGACATGAAGCTCTTTCCTTCCTCTGGTGTATTAAATAATAGTATTTGTACTCTGTCCATATTTTGAATTGTATACAAGCTTTTTTTTGAGGTTTATCAAAGATAGTTATCTTCATCATTTTGTAGCTTTCCAAGGATTTTATTCAAAAGTCTGGAACCTTGTCAATGCCCTTGGTACTGTAGAAAATAATCTTATCTGTATGTTTTCCTCATCATTATTTGATCCTCATAATTTCTTTGATTTCAGATGTTTGCAGTTAAAATACACAATGTTCGACGTTATCATTGAATACAGAAAAATATTTTTATTTGTTTAAAGAACCGTTGCAGAGAAAAAATCCTATGAAAAGAACGTTCCAAAAACATTGAAAAAATGATTCACTTAAGAAAAAAATAAGAAATTACTTCCACTATATGCAAAAATTCAGTCGACAAAACGGTAACCGTAATAACCGTTATTGAGCATAGCAACCTTACATTTATATAGTTCATTTGAAGAATATACATCAGGGCATTTTTTTCTGTGCTTTTTACATGGCTGGTTGTAGTTTGGTCCAATTACACGCTGCTGGACATCATAGAATGGACAGTGCTTCCCTTGTAAATCAAAACATAAAAATGTAAGGATGACTTAGATACTTTCAATTTTTTTATGACAATAATATTCCAGCTACATTTACATGTTAACATGAATCGCCTGATCTTTTTTTTATATATTGTTGTTTTCAAAAATTAATGTTAAACAAATCGTACCTTAATGGTTGAAAATTAATATGCACTTTTTTATTGAATTTATTGGATTCATTTTTAGATTTTTCGTATTTTTAAAACGAACTCAATATAATATAAAAATGTATATAACGACCAGTAATCATTCTCGAAATCCAAATTTATCAATAATGCATATAGTGAGCAGGGCAAAATCGAAACTTTGATAACAGATGTTGGGTCAAGTGACAAGGAAAAGAGAGCCCCCCCCCCCCCTGTTTTTTCAACAATTTATTTAAAATGAATTGCTTCTAACACATATTTCTTTGAATATGTTATGAGTCATTGGATTCTGATAAGGGTTCTGTGAAAACTGATTATTACACGTGTATTTTCTAAAGATAATTTGAGTATTTTGTTCTTATCTTGATTCATCTGTCAGTCACATTGTCTTCATATTCAATCTAATCTTGGCCTCATCCTTTAGAATATGATTGTAGGTGCCTTGACCAACATGTGCACTATATTTATTTTTTTTTACAATAAAAATGGGAAATGGAGGGAAATAGTGTTTTCTACAAAAATCCGCTTCCTTGAACTCCTCTTACATTTTCCGCAGTAGCCCATTCATATTTTGGAAGATGATTGAGAATGCCGTTTAGATTTAAGATAATGTTTCGAACTTTCGATTTTCATCCTGGGGACGATTGAATGTATATTTTCTACAAAAACTTGGTTCTCTGAACTTCTCACACTTTTTGCATTAGCTTACTCATGTTTTGGAATATGATTTGTAGTGTCATGTAGATATGCAATAAACTTATGGTTTTTGGGATTATTTTGTTTTCACCATAGGGATCAAGCAAGATCCAAAAACGATTTTTTTTATCACAAAAACCTGGTTTTCTGAACGCCTTTTACTTTTCTTGCGGTAGTCCATTCATATATTGGATAATGATAGTGAGTGTTGGGTAGATGTACAACATGTTTTTATAATTTCAATTTTCACCCTGGGGAGTGATTGGATGTCGAGAGATCTCATTTAAAAAAAAAAAAAAAAAAAAAAAAAAAAAAAAAAAAACTGGTTCCCTGAAATCCTCCTACAATTTTCACAGTAGCCTAGTCATATTTTCGAATAGGTACGTGAGTTTCATGTAGATATGCATTTAGATTTCGAAAAATTTATAGTCATCTTGATGGTGATTGGGGTGATAAATTGACTTTTTTCAAAGTAATTCATAGAATTTTAGGGGCTTTTCCACTCGTTACCAAAATAAGAAGGTGAGTAGATTTAGAGGCAAACACTTAATTGTGGACATAACTGTCTTTTGATAACATTAGTATTCTTTATTTCCATAACTACATTAAACCATGAAAATAACAGTTAGACTTCTAAGTTTGCTCTAAATGGTTATCGTTAAATTAATACATATCTAAGATGAAAATATTTAAATTCATTTGAAAGAAATAAATTGTTTTGCATCTGTCTTTAAATCAAATTGTAAAAAGTATTGTTTTACATTGAATTGTCTACGGATTTCTCTGCTGACTGGATAACTTTAAGAAACCTATAAAATGTATGAGAAGTCAACAGGTGATGCTTACTCCGACTTGGCTTTTGTTCCCATTTGTGATGTTTTCCGAAATCCATAACTGCTCTGCCCATAATTTGTATTGTATGTTTGGACTAATGAAAATGATTACATTTCACAGCAGAGATAAATTAATAGTACATGCGTCAATACTTACCAATTATTACTCTTGTTGGGGCACATACTTCAAACAACGTGTCGAGAACTCTATTTGGAAGACAGTGATACTCAAAATTATCTATTTCTGTACAGTTTTGCTGTATTTGATGACACTGTTTTCTGTCCTTTTCTTTAATCCATTCTGTAATATCTTTTGGGCATCTTTCCACAATATGTAATGTTGGTACAGACCTTGAACAGCCCTGTTCTTCCTTTATTGACAAAATATATCTCAGTATTTAATGGTCATTGTTGTACAGTCATGGAGCTAATGATTATCTTTTCGTTCATACAAAAGTGAAATTCCATAAATGATTAAAAAAAATGAAAAAAAATCGTGTATAAAATCAGGAAAATAATTAAGATATACATCTCACCGCGAAGAGTACAATTGCCCCAAAGACAATGTTATAAATGCACACTACTAGAAGAATCATCTTATCTGGAAAAAAATGATGATACATATTCTTAAAACAGTGTAATATCTCATATCACTTATTCAAATGTCAAAACTTAATACATATAACCTCTGTTTAGATATATTTTTTAAACATTCATACGATTGAAATGTACTGCAAATAAGAAGGAAAGGAGAAACTCAATATGCAGAACTGTTTCTTTACCTTCAGAAATCTGTAACTTTTTTTTATTTTTAGACGTGTTTGTCCTTGGCTCAGTTTATTTCAGAATGCTACTTAAAAAAAAGGGGAAATTTAAACATGTGAACAATGAAATCTTACATGCACTTTAACATAATAAATAGATTCACTTCATTAATCATTAAAGCTATTCCAAGAAAAAATATGCCGATCATCCACCAGAGCTGCTTGTTTTGTTAACCGATATAAGCGTGTGGCTTAAAAAGGAAGAGGATAAAGTAAGAAATCATCACATAGGCCAAGAAATAGTTTAATAAGATTGTTCAAAAAGGTTTATATTAATAAAATAAAAAAAAAAGAAATAAATGTAACTTGAACAAGAATTATCTTACTTGATCCGAAATGGAACAAGGATGTTCTCCCACGTACAATGTATTAAACCTACTTTCGTTTTAAAAATCCTTTTTTTTTCAATAAGTATTGAAACAAATATTGGACTGACTAGAAAATTAATGTGTTTCTTTGAAAATGATACAACATATCTGGTATTTATATATTTAATTTAATTTTTAGCAAAATAAAAAGGAAATATGATTAACTCACCTATGGAAAACCCCAGGGTTTCGAGGACATAGTTTCATATCAATCGTCTGAATAAATCACGTTACTTTAAACTTTTTTTTTCAATTCTTGGTATGCAGGTGTATTAAACTTTTTTTTTCAATTCTTGGTATGCAGGTGTATTAAACTTTTTTTTCAATTCTTGGTATGCAGGTACTTTAAACTTTTTTTTTTCAGTTCTTGGCATGCATTCATTATGTGCATTTACTTCCAATTTTAAGTATTCTCGCTAGAGATTATTATTATTATTTTGATTTTTTAAGATGCTCATTGAAGACACAAAATTCTTCTTGTAAATTTTAGACAAACTAAAGACAAATTTAAGATGCGAAAAAATTCCAAAGATAGGTGGCATATTCTATGCAAGCGTTTGTACCTATTTTCACTGAGATACAAGTGCAATTAATTGTTCTGAACTTGAAGTCCTTAACTGATATAAAAACGCAAGATTCCCAATGATGCATTCACAGAAAAATAAGAAAGGAAATATTCTTTTAAATACTTCCAAGTTTGTTAGATAAGCCATTTCTTTTTTCCCTACAGAACCTTTCATTTTTTGGTCAAACAATGTGTCTTTTAGATCTCTCTCTCTCTCTCTCTCTGTGTGTGTGTGTGTGTGTGTGTGTGTGTGTGTGTACTTTTTATAAGTATGCCACATCTATTACATTTTTGGATGCTTTACGGACTATATAGGATAAATGCCAATCAATCAACTAAATTGTATGACAAATGAGATGACTTCAGCTTTTCCATCGTCAACTTCCCTCATTTATGTAGTAATATTCCACTATCACCTACTTATGGTGTTTATGTCTCCCAACTTATTCGGTACTCAAGAGTTTGCACTGAGTACGATCAATTTTAAAAGCAAGGCAGGCTACCTACTGATAAGTTGATGTTTCAGGGATTTCAACAGCCTCGTTTAAACTCAGCATTCAGTAAATTATATGGTGGTAATAATGACCTTGTTAGCAAACATAACCTATCATTGGGTCGTATTTTGGCTGACTTGTTTTATACCAATTGTTAAGTCTTTGTTTTTATACTGAAATGACTATGGATAGTTCCGTCTACTTGTTCTATACACAGGTCTCACGACGGGTGTGCATTATCAAAAGGGAATGTTTTTCTCTCCTAGGCACTTGACCCCACCTCTAGAATTTCCAGGGGCCCGTGTTTTATGCCCTATTCACATATTTGTATTTTTTATGGATATTTTTAGACCTATCACTGTTCGTAATTTTTACCGTTTACATGAATATGATTATATCTTTTTTGCAGAGCATATTTCTAAAAAAAAAAAAAAAAATGGAGAGTAATTTTAAAAGTAATGGTGTGTTACTAACAAAACAATTTACAAGTAAAATATAGCTATTAACTAGTTGAAAAAAAACTACCACATAGAATTCAATTTTGTTCTGGAGTTAAATTAGTTGAACATTTTCCCTCCTTGATAAGCATAGCAATAGTTTTATTTTCTTCAAAATCAAACTTAATCAATATACGATGTTCAACTTTAGTTCTATCAGATTACATTGTAGCTTAAAATGATTTTGAAAAATATACTTTTATGGATTTTTTTTTGTTTGTATGTTGTTCAACGTCCGTCTCGAGGTTTTTTCACTTATATGTAGACGCCGCCACTTGCCGGTGGAGAGCTGCAAATTTTGTCCTATACTCGGCACTTACGGCCATTGAGCAGTGAGGGATCTTTTTTGTGTCAGCACCTACTGCGACACTTGACCTCAGTTTATACGGTCTCATCCGAAGGAACGGTTTCCATGTCCCACAGTGAGATTCGAACACGCGACGTAAGGATCAACTCCTCTTACCGCGACTTTAGAGCAGACGCTCTAACCACTGCGCCACGCGTGCGACTACTTTTTTGGTTAAAATGTTCTTAAAGCTGCAGATATAATCCCTTTAAGCCACAGACATATTTTTATGGTTATAATATGTAGCATTAAATTTCACTTTTTTTTTTAGTTTAACTGTACTCATTTTATAAAATAAATTACAATTTCCTAGAGTACTTTGTAATATTGTGTTATAAACGACACCTGTTTTTTTTTTTTTTTTTTTCGTCTGTTTGTTTGCTTATATAATACTCAAACTTAAACACATTTTATGATCTCATTTATAGATTTTAACACACGTGACTGGATGGGAACATTTTGTATTTAGAAAACATTTGTTCAGCTTTACTGTAACTATCATTCATTTCCGTGTACAAATTATGCTGCGACGTTAACATATGTTTTCTATATTTAAGGTATTCCACGCAAATACGGCTTTATTTTTCATTTATAGATATCCACCACTCATACAATACTCTTGTATTACTTCAAATAACATTTAAGAGCAAAAAAGGATCTACCAAGATAAATTTCAAAATTGTTACTTCCTCGACAATACGTATTCTACGAATATCGCATAGAGGTAAAGGCATATTTAAAAAAATCCTAATGTCAAGAGTACCATTAAATTCTCCAATGAAATGGTTTATTTATCAATTAAAGGTCATATGAAACAATATCCTGAGAATTTTAGATTGTATACGGAAAGTTCATCTGAGCTACTTTAAAAAGCCTGAAAGAACATTTTGGATTTTTTATGCAGGTAAGAAGCAGCAGAGTTGATCAAAATCACTTGACCGCGAAAATTAACTTCAACTATCGCGTAAATACTGTGTCAGTGATATTCTTGGGGGAGGGGGATTTATCCCGTTAAGCCTTACATGTATTACCATCAAGATGATTGCTTTTGCTTTCAAACAATAATCTGAAACTGAATCAATATCATTTTGAAAGGAAAATTACCCTGCAGAGATCTGCAATTTTCAGAGTATAATGCTGGCTTTTTATAAGTGTAATAAATACTGCATCAGTGATATTCTGGGGGAGGGGGTTTACCCCGTAAAGTCTTGCTATCTAAAAGATGGGTGCTTTTGCTTTGAATAAATGTAGGTAAACTGTATCAATGCCATTTTTGAAAGGAAATTTACCCTGTAGATTTTTGCTATCTTTAAGATGTTGTGAACCATAAATACTAAATTCGTAATAGTCTTGGGGGGGGGGGGGGGCTTTACCCCGTAAAATCTTACTATCATCAAGATTGTAGCTTTGGTTGTGAATTACTTTTTATGAACTGTATCAATGTCATCTTTGAGAGGAAATTTACCTTGCAGAGTTCTGCGATTTTCAAAGTGTAATTTTCGCTTTTTGTATGAGTATTAAATACAGTATAAGTTATTTTCTTGAGGGGGGGGGGGGGGGTTACCCCATAAAATTTTGCTATCAGGAAGATGTTAAGTTTGCTTTTGTAGCGAACAATAAATTCTGTACCAGTGATATTCTTTGAGGGAAATTTACCCCATAGAGCCTTGCTATCATTTTATTGTACATATGTCAAATTCTAAGTATTTCCTCTACATATTTACATTTCAGTTTGTTTGTGACGCTAGATCATCTTTCTAATAGAAAAATGCTGATTTTTCACAATCATTCCAATAAATATCTTATAAAACTGGGTTTTATGCTAGAGTTTGTCAATACCTAAGGGCAAAATGCCTAAGACAGAAAAAAGAATTGTATCTATTTCCATTTTTGATTCTCAATATATTCTGACTATTCTAAATTATTCAAAAAATGATATGTTATTCAGAATTTCCGCATTGATATATGATCATTCTACTTATAATAAAATTTCTACCAATTCACCAATATATAGTTATAAACATCAGGTTTTTAAGTTAATATTTTATCTAATTTGTAGATAATGTAGTTTGAAAAGATGATGCCGAATACTTTTTATAAAAGCCTTGTAATTATTGGATTGTGTTTGTGTTTCGGTGAAACAGATGGCAAAGGTATGTAAACCTTATAGAGTCTAGGATCTAAAGCTATTTTGTAATCATTTTATGAAATGAATCTAACATTGTATTAGTATCATAAATTTTGACATGTATTTTGAACATAATGCATGCACTATTC